CCAACCGCTGGGTCAAAACAGCCCAATTGCTGGGTTTGTCCCTATTTTACCCAGCACTGGGTTGTATTTAACCCAGCATTTTTTAGAGTGTGGGAAATATGACCAAAATATTATTCAACGCTAGGAGTAGTTTTATTTTAACAATAACAATTTATATCATGCTATAGTCATTTTTGTTATTAATAATAAGAAGATGCAAGTAACAAACAAAAGGACAAATACAATAAAACAAAGACACAAATGAAATAAACAGTGTTTTTAGGTACAGGTCTATTTAACAGTAGCATTCAAGAAAGAGATGATACAGAAATTGAATAAAGTAATCAAAATGTTAAAGTAAAGCACTGCATAGTCTTCACTAATGAAACAATAATACATTAATCCTTATTAAAGGTAGTAACGTTAGTCAAGATTAGTGAGTGATTTTCTATTTTTCTTGATTAACATTGTAGAGACAGACAGCAGCAGGAATATTATAGTCTGCTGTCACTTTCAGAGCTGCACGGACCCAATTTATTGATACACACGCGTTTTCTTTCTCAACTGTTTACGTTAATTTCAGTCATAAACCAAGATGGTAGGGATGGAGAAATGAAGCCTCATGAAGCACTGAGGCTTTCCCCTGACTGTTCCGGGAAAAGATTCAAAGCTTCGAGAGTGTCAAGAACAGCGACATCTGGTGTTTATTGAAAAAAATTGCAGCCAGAAGCCTGTGGAAGAAGCTGTCAGATGAAGCAACCTCCACACACTCCATAGTTTCAATGTTATGTGTACAAATAAAAGCCGTACACGTTTGTGTTTAATTTGTCCATTAAATAAATTAATTTACCCATTAAAGTGTGACAATAAAATATAATATGCAGTACCGTCGCAAGGGCTGTGCCAAGTGTGCGACAGCACAGAGCCTCTCGCCTTTAGAGGGCCTCGCTCCTGGCCTGCATTTTATGTCATTTATGTCTAATTTCTATTACTGTTTTTCCACCCATTTTGTCCTTTGAAAGACTAAAATAGTCATAGCTGATAGACAGTATAAGACTCTGTGTATAAGAATGAGTAAAGCTGTTTGTTGTTAGGATGACAAAGTTTTAAAAGTTAAACTTTTAGGCCGGTCTGCCTCAGTGGTCCAACAGCGCTCATCAATGTCAAAATGATCGAGATGGCCAATCAAATCAAAGAAGGCAGGTCTTATACTGTCACAGCGCAACGAGAGTTCGTGGAAAGATGTAAGTAGTGTAGTAGTACTCAGTGGCGTAGCAAGTCAGCCCCGAGCCCACATGCAAAAAATTTTGTATGGGCCCCCCCAAACGTTATGGGCTTCGGTTAACTTAACTTGGGCCCTATTGTTGATTTTTTTTTTTAAGTAAATAACTTTACCTGAATCGTGACTATTCACAAGCTGTTTTATGGCTAAATGCTTGGAAATGATATTTAAAGTTTTCAAGTCCATTCATTATTTGTAGCACGCAAGCCACCCAATAATCACAGCTTTGTGCTTTGTTACTACAAAGTCTCAGCCTTCTGTCAATTTTATGATAAAATACAAACAATAAATGTTTTTTTTTACGCTCTTTTATTTGTAGTCAGATAATTTCGCCTCCAGTGCCGGCCCATAGGAGAGAGAGTATAGGATACTAAGTGTCATCAAATTTGATTTATTGCCCCTCATAAACCCCCCCCCCTCCTCCTACCATAATGGACACCTGTTATGTACACCCCCCACCCATCTAACCGGACATGTGTTTATCCACCCCAACGATCGAAAGGAATTTATGATTGTTTGGGAAAATGTTTTTGTGTGGGTCCATTGAAACTGTTCAAAACTATGTGCTTTAAACTTTAAATTGTGAAACGTGGTATGATTATTAAACGGGGTAAGGGAAGTTTTTATTAAAGTTTTTACACACACACATTTCATGAAAAACATCAAACACTAAATAGAAACAATGTAATGACTGTTTTTTCCAGAAAAGATTAAAAACGAGTTGAAGTATTTAAGTGTTGTTAAACAATTTAAAAACTAGAGTTTGTTACAAGTTAGAAAATAAAAAGAAAACTAGGCCACTGACCATCTATCTAAAACAAACATAACTATCCTTCCAGATACGTTCGTTAAACAATACAGCAGTTTTTCTATGTTACAATTTAAAAACTATTTAGAGTTTCCCAGCCAACATTCTATTTTGTGGCCCGTGTGGGCCCCATATGGGCTGTAAATATGGGCACTATATGGGTTTGTCCATGGGTTCCATGTGGGCCCCATCTGAATTATCCCATATGAATATCATATGGGGCCTGACTGGGGCTTATGTGGGGCCCAACTGGGCAACACATATAAGACCCATCTTGGTATTACCCACCTGGGAATTTTCTGTCCCTTCATTGGAAGTCTGTTCACCCAAAAAAAACAAAAAAAAAGAATCCATATAAATAGAGCTTTTTAATTCAAGTCGTCTGAAAAGTCATGAACAGACTTTCAATGGAGAGACAGAAATGTCTTAATTTAATTAAAAACCAAAGTATAAAAAAGTTGCGCACATCCCACAAACCCCCACACAGGGCTCAGGTGCACAAAAAAGTCAAACTATAGCAAAAGCCTGACGAAGACCTAATGGTCAAAACGTTGCAATACATATTTCTTATGGAGCAGTTATATCAGTGTGCAGAAAATGTTAATTTAATTAAAAATATCATTTGTGTTTCAGAGATGAATGAAAGTCTTATGGGTTTAAAGCAGGGGTGTCAAACTCCTGGAGGGCAACAGCCCTGCAGATTTGAGTTCCAACCCTGTTCCAACACACATACCATCTAGTATGCAAATAAGCTTGAAGGACATGATTAGCTGGATCAGGTGCTTTTCATAAGGGTTGGAGCTAAATTCTGCAGGGCTGTGGCCCTCGAGGATCAGAGTTTGACACTCTTGATTTAAATCAATTGAACAGATAGAATAGATTTTTAAAATTTGGGTGAACTATCCCTTTTAAGTAACGCTTTTAAAACCTCAATGACAACAAAGAACAAAAACTCTGTTTAACTTACAATACAGTATTAAAATACTTGGTCTCAACACAATTTGTACAGATGGACACACACAAAATTAATCACAGTCCTGAAGACTGCTGTGACCTGATTGCTCTCTTTCCGCCCCTGTCTCTAGCCCTCGTGAACCATTTTGAGAGTGCCCATCCGGCCCCCCACTGTTTCCACATCGTCGAATCCGGCCCCCTTTAGGAAAAGTTTGGACACCCCTGGTCTTGGTCATTGCATTCTTCTTCAGTCCACCTATAAAAACAAAAGTTTACACATATAATCATCTGAAATGTCCAGCTACATACTTTGGTTACATTTTATTTTATAGTGTTCTTGTCACAGTGTAGGTGTACATTTAAGTACTCCGTAATATTAATTAACAACATTTACTTACCATAGGGTTAAAAGGTTAGTTCACCCCAAAATGAAAACTGTCATTTACTCACCCTCATTTTGTTCCAAACCCATAAAACTTGTTCGTCTTCTAAACACAATTGAAGATATTTTTAATGAAATCTAAAAGAAAATTCTGCCCCTCCACTGGAATGAATTTCTTATGGGTTTGTACTGACATGAGGCTAAGTATATGATGACCATTTTCATTTTGGGGTGAACTATTCCTTTAGGGTCTGGATTAGGGATTGGTTTAGATTAGTTATTGCACAATTTATTTCTATAATAAGTACATGTAAAATGTAACATGAACACTGTTGGGGTGGGGGGGGCAGTGATCATGCACTGCCTTTTTGTTTTGACAATAGTGCAATTGTTGCACATTAGCTTACACACAGCACAAGCCTGATTTCGTGAGCTGTAAGTGAGGCGGCCTTTTACACCAGGTTCACACATACTCCGTTTGCAGTGCGTATGCAGTCCATGTGTGGTACGTAAGTGGCGCAGAAGCAGCACAGACTGCTTTCACACAGGGGTCTACAACTGATCCATGGCTGTTTACGCCAAACACAACATTTATCCATTATTTTGATTTCAAATCCAAACATTGTTACGGAAAATGCTTTTCAGCATTGTGATTCTTTTTTTACA